GGAATGAAATTCATAAACTATTTCCATTAGGCTAAGCACCTCTCCCAGGTTTTCCTGGAGCACTCAGTAGCTAAATATGCCTGGCTGCAGTTTCAAACTAAGCGACTGGGGCACAGCTTTACCTAAAAGCAGGCGATTATCTCTACGCTTCACTCCTCGGAGGGGGTAAGTCATATATAACTCTGTTACTGCTTTCATTTCAGGCTACAACAATGACAGGAAAAAACAGCTGAAGCAGCTTTTCAAAAGTCTTCAGACACAGCAAAAAGTTTAAAGCACTGGATGAGAGAAACCACTGAGGAGAGCACTCACTCTCTTCCTCTTGTTGAAGAGCAGCACTTCTCATTTGTCTCTGGACCAGGGACAGTTTTGCTGCCTCAGCACAGGACTAATGTCCACTTCTTGGTTCCCTAGGATTTCCCCTACATGGGAGATGCAGCAGTTAAACAAACCATTCGTATTTGTAAGCCAGAATAACAATAGAAGTGGGCTGGCTTGTAACCAGACGTGTAACTGCAGCAGGTCAAGGTCCTGTTCCATTGTGGCTGATCGGTTCTTCCTTAAGGAATGAATCTGTTTTGTTCCACACTGGAGTTCTGTAGCAACACTTGGGCTCAACTGACAGCACGAGCATAAAGGAAACACCTTATTTCAGCCATTAAATGTAGATATAGAGTAAGGCCATACTAAGGGCTAGTTTGTGGGATGCTGCAGACCACATCCACTCCTTCTCAGTCACTTCAGCTCTGCATACCTTAAATAAAATGTTTAATAATGTGTCACTGCTGTTATTCATAGAGCTGCAGCTTCCAGAGTCCCCCCTTTGAGGCTACTGACACGGCCAGTTTCCCCTTATGCTACAAGCTAAGTGGTGATGCACCCTCTGCTCAATCAACCAGGAGAAAGGGGGCATGCCAGCTTCCTGCTGCCACTATTGGAACATGTCGGATCATAAACCCTGTTGCCATGACACCGTAAGAATAACCTTTACCATTACATGTTACAGAAGCATTGTTAGTAGCTTTACAACCCAGGTTATGTGAAGAATGCAGTTATAACAACGCCTTTGTCTCTTTGAGGTGGGAAAAGTAATATGCTACCCCACCACTCGCAGAGAAGGTGTAATTTTCTGGAAAGCTATCGGCAAGGCAGTCTGCTAGCTGGGATAATATTTAACACCTAAATTGGGAATTGAAGCCTGAGATGGACAGCTCTGCTTTTAGCAGTTGCAAGCTTAGGCTACATATCAGCTTACTTAAAGGTAAGGGTTTCCTTCCCACCTTTCATGCCATTAAAACTGACCTCGTGTATCAAGATCCTTGTTTAAAGGGAAGGGGGCAGGCTTTCTGCAGTGCAAACCCACCCTGGTGGGGCACCGTGTATGTGTTATACACGTGCAGGACTGGCCGGGGGAGTGGAGGGTTGTGCAGTGGTGTATGCACAGGTGGCTGGCTGGTCAGGGAAGTGGGGAAACACAATTGCTGTTTTGAAAGTTTAACGCACCTCTTGTCAAGATGCAGCAGGAAGTCAGCCAGAGCTGCCTGTGTCAGGCATGCAAAGCATACCAGAGCAGACACACCTGCTTCATCAGCTCTCTTGCTCTGCCCATTCCTTGGTCCCCAAATTTGAACCATTTTCTTTAAATCAAGGCATTCCCCAACCAAACCCCACCTTTCTAGGCTGAGCGTTCAGGTTGTGGAATAAACACTAATGTGGGGGTGGGGGTGGTGGAATCAGTGATTCTGCCAGATGCCAAACTCTTCTTGTAGACAAAAGAAATGAAGGTCTGGCTTTCCCAAAATTAACATGCAGCACAATTATTAGCATGCACTGTACCACTGTCCTCACTATTTCCTAGTGAAGAGATGGAATATGGAAAAGTACAGGTCATTGTGGAACGACCTTAACATTTTCCTTTTAGTGTCTGCATTAACTGGAAACGTGCTTTTACCGGGGTTAGCCCCAAGTTAATTGCATACTTGGTAGTGGATGTTAATATTTAACGTGGAATGGTTACTTTTACTTGAACTAGTGTAGAGAAAATACCCCTTGAGTTCCAGAGAGAACAGCAGGCTCATCCTGTCATGACACAGTCCCCGCAGCCATGCAGTCACACCTCCTGTTCCACTGGAGCAGCTGGGAATGTAGCTGTTACCATGGTGGATTAGACGTGGGGGTCCATGTAGCCCAGTTACCTATGCCAGCTCTTGCAGCTGCTTTGGGGGAAGGTGTGGGACATGCTGCCGTAGACTTATGGGGGAACCTGCCCCCAGGGAAATCGTCCCCCTAATCTCCCACTACATCCACTTCTGCTTCTGCCCCAGATACTGTGAAGAAGGCTGAGGCTTTGAGGCATAAGGGCTTGCTTCTAAAATATTAGCTACCGTAACTGGGTATCCTTGTTATTCCATAAATGCTTAAACCTTCTTTTGGCTCCTGCTAAGCTGTGAGCCTCCATGCTAGACTGTAGCAATGAAGTGCACTGGCTAGTTGTGAAATGCATGAAAAAGCCTTACAGTTTTAGACTTGATGTTACCACTTTTAGTTTCATTCAGCCTTCCTGTTACCAGACCAATGAGACAGTCCTAGTCCATCTTCTCCAGACTTTTAAAAAATATGTATAGATATATAATGTGTCCTCTTCCCCACCGTAAATCGTTCCAGTTAGTTCACTCTCCTTACAAACTGAAGCAATGGATCCCGATTGTAATAGATGTTTCCCATTCAGATTAACAAGACACTATCTTCTTACGCTTCACCCCACTCAGATATTTAAAGCCATTCCAGGAATTTTTGAAGTGCACTGTTCTACTTAAACACAATACTCTCACAAGCTTATACAACCCTGTCTTTTCATTTACGCCTGAGAGAGAGACTGTGGATTCACAGTTCTTTCCCTCCTACTCCTGTTCCTTCCATGAGCATGTACTAGCTCTGGAACTGTTACCAAAGATCTTACACACACAAAAAAACCATGCACACTGTTAGGAATGTCCTGTTTCTCCAGTTTTAATAAACCCACTTCCACCCCAGTGATGGCAGGCTGTCAAATGCTGTGAATGAGCCAGTGTTTTAGCACTTATCTGTACAATTACAGTGCCCAACCCTTGGCCAACAATGGACACTTGCCGTTTCTGGTATGAAAGGATTTCACAGTCCAATTCAGGAAACAAAATTCTACAAAATAAACAACTTGAAAGGGATCCTCGGTGTCGAGATGTTCTCCCTAGAAACCTGGAGATTGGGCACTGAGTTCTGCACCAGGAACTCCATGAGCGACAGCCTAGTGCACCTGATGAGCAACACAGTTGAAGTCCCTGCTGTTGTCACTAAGCTCATCCTTCCAGGATACGATTAATTAGTTTCATTTCCTCAGGAGTCATTGGGTTCAGGTTAAATCCTTTCAGCTCAGCTTTACCTGAGAGAAAACAAGCAGGAAATCAAGATTGGGCTACAAGACATTAACTGTCCCGTTGAGAGTGTTGTCCCAACTACTGCTGGTCCAGAAAACCCAGAGAAGAGCTGGCACCAGCTGGCAGAACAATTGCCCAAGTTGTCATGGCATGGCCAGCTAGCCTTTGGCAACAACTTATCACCTGGTTAACAGGGGCAGTGGAATCTGCCAAAGCAGCTGTGCAGTAGTCACAGCCACGTGCTCTAAAAGCTAGACAATACGTGGCTTTTGCACTGAAGAGAACAGACGTGTCACTGTTCCAGGAATATACTCCGCTCCTGGGTTTTGGGACACTGAACGTGGTTTCAGACCCTGTCACAAATACCTTGCGCTTCAAACAGATGGTTGACCTTCACTCTCAGCTCTTTCCGAAGGGTGTTTATTTCCTCATCCAAGTGCTCCTGATCTGAGAAAGCAGCGACGGGAGTAATGAAACATTCTAGAATATCGTTTGAGAGCAACCAGCACCCCCCAAATTCACAGCTACTTCTGGCAAATCTATTCCAATCTGAACCTCCAGCATGGAGGGGGAAGCCTCTTCTCTTGCCTTCTCCGTGAGGCTGGCTGCGTCGTACTGGTACATAAGAAACATAACCCTGTTCCGGTTCTCCCAGAATACGCGTCTGCCAGATTCTCCCTTTCCAAGTAAGTATAACGAACTGGATGGCGGAGGTATGAGTCCATTTGTAATACCAGCATGACCTTTGAACACGATGTGCCATCTCCAGGCTGGAAGCCAAACAGCTGGGTCTTCCGAGTAACGTACGTTTGGAGGGGCAGGTACTATCTTCCTGGGGGCAGGGGAGGGAGGACAGATGCCTGTGCGGGCGTATATGAGTGTGCAGCTCCTAGAAGTCCAAGCTTCTGTGCTCCACCAAAATACTCACCTGTTTTCACAGATGTTAAGGCCAGAGGGGCCCTTACACTACCCACTCTGGCCTCCGTAAAGCACAGGCCGAGGAATGCCATCCCGTTACCTTTGTGCCGTTGTAAAACAAACCAACCAACCTTCAGTTTCAATGAATGCCCCTAGTTCCTCTTATCGTGAGAGGGAGTGAACACGAGTTCCTGATCTACCTTCTCGAGGCCTTTCATTCATAGTTTTGTATCTTTTCATCACCCAACTTTTCTACCAAGGCAAAGTATCTCAACCTCAAGAGGACAGCAAAGGTCCTCTTGATACTCATTTCTGAAGCCCCTCTACTTCTGCTGTATTCCCTCTACGAGGAAGTGACCAATGCAGCATAAGGTAGTCGGGGGAGTGTGTACCACCAACTTCCTGAACGGCATTCAGATATTCTCAGAGTTATTTCTCAACCCGTTCTTCATGGAGTCTACCATCCCATTTGGGTTTCTCACAGCGAAGGATTCCTAGACACTACACAAGGAGGCCTGGGTCCTTCTTAGCAGCAGCAGCGTACAACCCACTACAAGGTAGGAAAAGACAAAGTGGCCCAGCCGTCAATTCAGTGAATACAAGCACTCCTGCCACACGGGACGCCCCACGTATGTATCCAAGGAGAGGCCGGAAAGGGAACACAGCTTGCAAAATCACAAGCAAGTTGTCAAAGTCTGGCATTGAACTTACCTTTCTGCATCATTTCTTTGGTCGTTGATTTTGGAAGCTGAATAAACATATTTCCAAAGCAGACCATCACGTCACCTACAGAGAGAGAGGCACCTTTTGTAAATAAAATTTTTCCGAATGAAAACTGCTCCTCCCCGCACTCCTGCCAGGTGCACACCAAATGCAAAATTCAACAAACAGGCTAATTTTTGTAGGCCCCTTGATGCTCAACATCAGTCTGCAGCATCACTTAGGAGAGCGTCTACAGGCAATTAAATGTGATTCAGTCTCATAAGACCTGCGCAAGGGTGAGTTAGTCACCACACAATCCACCCATGCACAGATGAACGCTGACTGCGCGCGGGCTTTATTTTGTTTCACCGCTCAGAAATGAAGCAATATTTACTGTGGAGAGGAGGCTTTGCCTGCCACTTTGAAGTGCGGTTCTCGCCTGGAAGATGACTATAAAATATGAGTACGGGAGTGTATGAGTGATGTTGTAGTGGCGATGGTCCAGGGGTCATGCAAGAGGCAAGGATTTTGTAGGGCGATATTTTCTATCGGCTCAACTGCATGGTTGGGATAGAGCCAGACGAGCTTCGACCAGACCCAAAGAAGAACGTCTTGCGTTTGAAAGCTTGTCTGACTCTATCCCAGCCACGCAGCTGGTGCAATACAAGAGATCACCCTAAGAAATTCTTGCCTCTCATATAAAACATATCCTTCCACATTTACCCTCTGTAAATTTAAAAAGTGTATTGCTTTCCTGCGAGCTCAACCCTAACTTGGGCGTTCGTGTCAACGTTGGCATCCTTCTGCCTCGCCTGCCTGGTTAAACGAAGCTTCGGTGAATTATTCTGTGCATAAAAACTGCAGGGAAGTTGGGCTGGAAGGGACGGTCGGACCAGGGAGTAAAACGCCTTCCTGACCCCAAATACAGCGTTGGTCCGGCCTGGCGCAGAGGGGCGAGACCCGGCAGCCGGGACCTGCAGGTGCCAGCAGGAGCGTCGCTGCAGGCAGCGCCAGCACCTCGACCCCCCCACACGTCACAGAACGGGGGGCGCCGGAGCCCGGTTTGGGGCAGCCCCGGCCTCGGGGTGCTCTTCCGTTTCCTGCGCGAGGGCAGCCGTTGCCTGGACAGCTCGCGCCGCCCAAGCCCCCACCGCCCCCGAGTCGCTGCGCTTCGTTCCTGCCCTCGGGAAAACACGGGGCCGTTCTCCCAGGGCCGAGAACCGAGACAGCCGTGGCAGGCGACGCGCGTTT